GCAGACTCTCGTGGAAGCGCTCAGACTTTAGAGAATAAATGACCAGCTGGATGTAACACGAGTGTGTGTGCACACACAGAAAATATTCTGCTCCAGTACCCTTTTAAAAAAAATATTTACTTAAGCATACAAGAACTTCTGGGGTACAGGCCAGAAGTTCAGGGGTGTGAGAGATTCGCCAGAGACAGAGTGGGGGACAAAACAGGCAGATTGACCAAAACAAACTGCTGAGGAGAGCAGTGGCTAGGCAGGAGAGGTCTGCGGTGCCGTGGGGCCCTCCCTGGGCAGGGGACCACCGGAGCTGCAGTGACTGCGGACAGCTTCATAGTGCTGTGCTTTAACCCCTTGAGTCACCAGGGAGGGCTCCCAATAGCTTTTTGCAAGTTCAGGTATTGATCATGTCCTAGATCCAAAAAGCCTTCTAAATCTGTGGTCAGCTACTATGAAACAGAAATTAATAACAAAAGTGAGGCAAGTAGCAAAACACTTGGGGAAAAAAAATTCCCAAGTTGGTAAGCTAGACAGATACCAAAACTGCAATTTTAGACTTTTTAGAAATTGACAATGAGGTATTATACATAAGAACTGTGGATAAGGGCCAAAAGTATTATTCAGAGGAAATTCTTACTTTGAATGGCTTTATAATTAAATATGAAATGTTGAAAATCAACTAAACATCTTAACAAAAGACATTAAAATAAATAAAACTTAACAAAATTAGAAAAAATATATAATGATAAAAGAACATTACCCTGTATAAAATAAGCAGTATATTTACAAATCAAGTATTAGTTCCCTCCCAACTAGTGAAATAAATGAGCAATTTGCAAGATTAATGAGAAAAAGAGGGAAAAAAACATAATTCTAAGGATGAGAAAACTACTAGAACAAGATGAATCACTATGAAGGATGTAATTGAAGTTTAGTGAGGGATTGGAGAGAAAGCTTGAATAAATACAGACACATACCTGGGGAGAGCTTTTATATTAAAAAGCATAAAGTTCTCCCCAGCTACCGACAAATATAATAAAGCTTCCCATTTAGAGAAATTAGTGTGTAAAAATAACAAGATAAAGATCTTTAAAAAAATTGAAGAATAATACAGATATTGACTGTACTGTTTATTGAAAATAATCATGAAAAGATCAGAAAAAGATACCAGTTTTACCCTTTTGTCTCTGTGTTCTTATTCACCCAAATAAGCAAATAACTCAGCCATGATGTTTAATGAATAGCTTTTTAAAGTTTTATAGAACAGGTATTTTTTTATATTACTGTATTCCCTGAGACGAAAATAACTTTGGTATCAAAAACACAGACTTAATAAAAAAGGAAATGATACCTTTCATAGAATACCAGTAAAACTCAAGATACTCACTCTGTATAATTCATCTCATTGATTTATTAAATGAGTAGAAAACTGGATAATATAATTAATCTGGAAGGGGATCATGATAAAATTCAATACCTATTCTTAATTATGAAAAAAATTCTAGTAAGTCTCTAATTGATGAGAGACAAGCTCAACAAAATCCATCAGAACGGCATTGTCATTCTTACTTGTGATTTTGTTTTCCAGGGACTGTTATTCACAAACACAGTTAAAAACATTACTTGCAGTCAACCCTTTTGAGAAAGATACAGATAGAAAAAGAGAACAATCATGTAGTTCGTATCATAATATACTGCTATAATTGTTTATGTTGTTGTCACGATTACTTTTTAGTGACCGAGTTATAAATTAAACATCATCATAGGTATGGGTGAATAGGCAAAAATAGAACAGGTATACATATGCCTGTGTGCATACATAAGAAGAAACATAGAGCTCAGTTGTAGCCACAGTTTTTGGCATCTACGGGTGTCTGGGAATGGATCTTCCTGGATCAAGGGGGCTGTTGTTCCACCAGCATCAAATTTACTACTCAAACACTGCAAGTGATCCTGACTGTTGCCTTACAATAACAAGAGTCCTTATGAGGATTATTGTGTCAGTTGATGAATTTTTACGCTTAGGAATTAACATGTGAAAATTAAGCCTTTTATGTCAGTTAATCAAAGCAAAAATATTAAAAAAGAATAAATTTTGTTTTAATAAGGAGGCATTATTTGCAGATACTCTATCTGACAATATTTGATCTTATCTATAAATATAAGAAAATTCATAGACACTGTATTGTCATAAATTGAAAATTGTTTGCCTGACTGAGCACTCAAAATTTAACTTAGGTTTTTCACTGAAGTGGTTATTTCATACTTAAAGAACAAAGTGTGTGTACAAGGCGGGGTTTGTGTGTTGGGGAGTGTCTCTGTGTATTTGTGCCCCTGAATTTTCTTTTGATTTTGTTTCAGTTGTCCTAATTAACAGAGATTTGATAATTATATGCTATCAGAAATAACTTTTAGAGTTGATATGTAGGCAATAAGCACAGTCCACAACTATATGAATTTATTTCATTTCATGTTATTTCAATGGTCTTACATTGGAGGTAGAATGTAACAAGTTATTATTCTCTATTCTTGCATCAAAACCTCAGTTATATGCAAGCACTGGGACATTACAATGTTTTCAGATAATTTATTTGGTTACTTTTAGAGCTTAATCACACCACTAAATACTTAAATGTATTGACTGTTTATTACCCATCCATATCCCAATTGCAAAGTAGAATGTTTTTTCTTTCCTTACTGTTTACATTTGCCAAGAAAAAAAAATTCCTTGTAGCAGAAAGACTGAAAAAGTGAAATCATCCAAATGTTTATCAACAGAAGAATCAATCAGTGATTGTTTAAAAATATTTTTAATCTTATACAGCAGTTTCACAAAATGAGGCTAATTTGCTTCCTAATCCTGAAACGTTGGCAAATCATAAGGGTAGATACAAAATGAAGTGGCAGAATTTACACAGTTAGACTAAGAGTTTAAGATGCTTTTAATCAAGGATATATTTATGAATATAGATTCTTAATAAAAATTCCTGTCTAATTATCATCTAGATAAATGGGATTGTGACATTTTTTAAATCAATATTTACTTATTTAATTTATCTTTTCCTATCTATTTACGTTATTAGGGATTGTGACGTTTTGGAAGTTCAAAGGGATTGTAGTTTTTTTTTTTTTCTATAATTTTTGAAGCTATAAAGTGTTCAACTTGCAATTTGTATATTTTAACATCATTTATCATTGAAGTGTCAAACATGAAGAGCCTTACTTAGCACATGCCCCAGGATAGATTTTGTGTTAGATTGTGTCACTTTGACACAGAGGTAAGACATTAAGGAAGATGGCACAAATACCAAATAAAAAAAAAGCAACAAAAGAAACTACCTACTCCTTTTACTAGAAAAGGTTTCTCATAATGATACCCCTTGTTCTTCTCTTGACCTTCCTTCACTCTTAAGAAATCATGGAAATTTTAAGATAAAGCACAATGACAGCAGGTTGGCGCAACATTAACTTGGCCCAAAGTCAGCTTGGCAAATTGTCATGCTGTTTTGTATTTATTTCTTTCAACTTTAACACCCACAATTTATTAAGTGAGATTGTGGATACAAGAGGAAGCTCAGAATCCTGTTTGGACACCGTTTAGGAAGGAAACCAAGACTTTATGGGGTACCCCCTTCCGCTGCGCCATGGCCAGGAAACCATCCTTCTGTTTAAAATCTATTCAATCTCAGAGAGGTGGGGTGACTTTGGGAAGGAAGGTGACCTCTCCCTTGTAAAGTGGAATTGCTCTGTTGTCCCCACCCCCGCCCCGTGATGACTTATTCAGCTCATTTCCCCTTCTGTTTATAAGAACACTTGTGCTGAGTGCTTGTAGTGACAGCAATAGTTCTTTAAAATACGGCTTGGATTCCATGCCTCAGATTCCCTCTGTTATTTCAAGTCATTGATCACCATGATCCCAAATGGAATTGTTGGTCGCTTGAGTCTTGCTGATGCCTCTTTGAGTTAACTGGTACGCTTCTTAAAAGCCAGTGGTTTAATCAATACATATTCTACTACTGTGTATAATGAAAGCATTGCTGCTATCAACTCTGAACGAGAATGCCCTAATGGGGGCCCAATCATTTGCAATATGACGTAGGAGATGTTTTGTGTAGATGTCTCACACGCTGGAACCCGTAGGCAGCTGGAGTTCCAGGGCATGAAGCAGGTGAATCTGGTGGCTCCAGCGAAGGTGATCCATTAACCCGACCTGATATTTTTTGAGTTTGTCAGCTATGTCCATTTGAGTACTTTTGGATTTTGGCCTCCACTTCAGCTTTGCTAAGGTTTGCATAGCTTCAGACCATGAAATGCTAACCAGTTTATTAGAGTCTTTTGTGCATTAAAAAAAAAATGCTTGAATAAACCTTTTATTTTCGAATAAGTTTAGATCTTCAAACAATTTTGAAGAGCATAATGAGTTTCCATGTATTCCTCACAAAAGTTTTCCCTAATGTTAATGTGTTAATGTCTTACATTGTCACAATACACCCTTTAAAGCTAAAAACTAACATTATATGTTACTGCTAACTAATTTCTGGTCTTTATTTGTATTTCACCAATTTCTCCTCTAGTGTTAGTCCCAGGAGCCAATATTTAGAGTATCATATTGGATTTAATCATCTTATTTCCAATATTCTGCTTAGTCATAATTTCATAGTCTTTGCTTTTTGCCACAAACTTGATAATCTTGAAAAGTACAGACCAGGACATTTTTAGAATAATCACCATTTTTAATAGATAAAATTGGAATTCTTGAAGGGAAGCTCTTGTAGACTTAGTCACAATTTGCACCCCTAAGTTTCCACATTTCCACCAATAAATATACCAGTTTCATGTTACTTTATCTTACCAGTTATAACAGCACTGTAGAATTAAAAGTTGATTTATATGGATTTGATGTTTGATTCAACTGTGTCTGCATTGTGCAATCCCAGTCGAACCAGCATTTATTCAACTAATCAGTATAAATCTCACAGAAAGTTTGTGTTTTATCTTGTTTATGACAGATTAGAGGTGGACAACCTAATTGTTACATGTTGAAGAATAAGGATTTAGAACAAGCTTTTAAAGGTGTTATTTACTTGGAGATGGAACTCATCTACAATCCGGTAAGTCTAAGAGGGCCATACTTAGCAGCTTCTCTAGATGGAAAGTGAAAGAGGGATCAGCCTGGAGGCATTCATGTCCATGCCAAATATTTCAGAATCAAAGTTATGGAGAGTGAAGAACTGTGTTTAAAAGTGTTAAAACCAGTACAAAACGCTCCAGCTCCCAGCCCATGTTAATCCAATCAAGCCACTGGATTGCTGGAGTTTAATTCTCAATTACTCTAGAAATCAAGAATAAAAAGAAAAAATAAAGCTGGCTTTTACTTTCATTTTTTTTTTCTCATGATCTTCTCCCAGGACAACAGTTGACTGTTGTATAGGTGGCTTTTCAAGCCACTGACATGCAATTTCATTATTATTGCAGGTTTCCCACTATCTAAGATTATTAAAACAAGAAGATGCCCAATAGGAAGCTTCAATTAAAGGAAACTTTTTAAAAATGGATCTTGCACATTGAATTTTACATAGCATTGCATTCAGTTCCCACTAGGTTCATGTGGACTAACCCATTTTGGAGCACGAATCTATTACTTTTAGTTTTACAGCCTTTGTCGTATGTAAGCCGTATCCAATACAGCGGTAATAATTTCTAGTGTCAGTATCTTCAGTGTGGGGTATACTCTGATCACACACATGGATATGAAGTTGAATATCCACAGACAGAACACATTCAGAAGCGTAGCTGGAATATAGAATTATGTCTGTATATAGGTGGTGTTTGCATAAAACCATTGTTGCCCCTCAGATCACCTTTTAGCTCAGGGTTTCTTCTAGAAAGCACTTTTTATAGCATATGGTCACAGATAAAACCTGAGTTTAAGGGGGGGGGGCCTGAAATAGAAAAGAAGTGTTGTTTTTTTCTGTTCTCCATCTGATGTAGAGGAGAAAGATTTGTATTTTACTCTCTGAGATTTTCCTTAGGAAGGTGATTTGGACAAACCACCAAATCTCTTAGTCTCAGTTTATTTCCTATAACATGGAGCTTAAACGACTCACCTACTGATTTTTCTGTCTCATTGAGAATAGAACAATGTTTTGACCAGCTGGAAACCAGATACCCACATACAAGGTATTATTGGTGAAAGAGTAGTTGCAAACCTTGGCGTGAAAGGAAATGTTATTTCTTAGAGGGTTTTTGTTTGAAAACTTTTTGATCCAAATCTCTGTAGTGTTGGAAAGTGCTTTCATTAATTAAAAAGGTGGATTGTCCCAGAGCCCACCAGTCCTACCCAAGTGAGGGTCATGAATGAGATGCCTGAGAAGGCACAGATCATGTGGTACCCACCGCCATTTCTCTGCTCCCTGAGAAAGCCATGAGGCCAAGGATTTGCTTTTCATGTCCTTCCAGCCATTAAGAATACTTTTAAAATAAGGCCATTATGAATGCTGTCCTTTAAATCAGTGATGTCTTTCTAGGTCAAAGCGAGTATTAGGTCCTTCACTCCAAGAGAAAAGCGCTTCACCGAAGATGGCCGTAAACTGTCCAAAAAGGTAGGTGGGGGCTGAAGACTGGTTTGTTGATGTTGCACATGAGAGAGGGCTACCTGGAGACCCCAAACTGTTAAAGGGTACATTCTCTTAAAGGGGGTCTCAAAGAAAAGCAAAGGAAGCATAATCTTAGTGTGAAAGATTTTAAACAGAATTGGTGGAGAGAGAGCGATTCAAATAATAGTTTCTCATGGCAGGGAGCCACAAGAAAGGCGTAGGCAGGTCTCAGACACTGGGGCCGAAGGGAAGACTCAAAATTCAAAATATCCCACATCATACAGAGGAGGTAGCGCTCATGGCTGCCATTATCTCTGGCCACAACCAAGAGCAGCCTCCTCACTTGTGTCTCTCAACTACCTGCCTCTAGGAAGTGTCTCCACGTGTCTTCTGGGGGTTCCCCTCAGTTTACATGTCCACCTACATTTATACACCTGCGTTGCTCCGTCCCTGCACCCCCGTTCGGGAAGAGCAGTTCATGGGCAGCTGAGACTTGTGGTCTAGGGTGACTGCCTGTGAGGGGGGAGAGGGGAGAACGGACGCCCATTCAAAGCTCCTCTCCCTTTTATGGAAATTCTTCTGGAACACTGATACTCTCCACATCTTGCATCTGAAGAACTTAGTTGTCTTTCCATACCTTCTCCTCTCACTCCCTCTCTGCCCATCACTTCCTTCTCTTCTCTGTAACTGCAGCAGGTGTCAGCCCTCCATTAACTTCTGATCGTTCTACAAACAAATTCCCAGTGGCAAGACCCTATAAAGTTCTCCCTGCCCGCCCTCCTTGATTCCTACCCACGTTCATCTCCGTCCTGTGAGGGTTCAGGATGTGTTCTGCTGGTGATGTTCACACAGAAATAACCCCGTGGAGACTGAGAGTCCTCTGACCGTGGACTTAGCCTCAGCAGCTCCATACCTCTCCTGTGGTATCTGAATTTGGGATGCATTGGCATTTTACCTCATACCGAATTAACTACCTCTCCCTTTGCTTGCTGTCCTTAATCCCTCTCTCATCCAAAAGTGATGACGGGGGCCCAGGAGGGAAAGTTTCTCATTTTTTTTTAACATGACCTCTGCATTTTTTTCAAGGTCCCTCCCTGTCCTATTTAGACATAGTTCAGGATTTCATTCTGTACCAACTGTCCCTCTTCAGTTGTGTGACAAAGAACAAAGTGTCCTCTTTTCAAAGTGTTTATTACTTCCACTACTTCCTGTGGGGTGAGCAGCTGTGGATTTCGTAAAGCAGTTAAATATAAAGGCATCTTATCATCCTTCTGTTTCCCATGCACTTCTGGCCACTTTTGGAAATGGCCTCAATTTCTTTAAGGGTGCATCCAAATGCTTTGTTTCGGTCTGCCATAACACGGACACCGAGCATGTTATTTATTTTATGTAAACTGAGAAAATGTCTTTTTTTTTAAAGCATTATTCTTATTGCCTTTTTCTCTGTTTACTTGAAAGCTAAAACTTGAGTTGAGGTAGGTAGAATAGCTGCTTTGCAAACAAATTGAAATGAATCTGCCTACAACTGGGAGAAAAGATGTTTTCCTTGCCAAACGTGACCTCCAGTGGAGTGGCCTTTGCTTCTGACAGCAGCAGGGATTTGGGCCTGAGCTCCTAGGGTACACTAGGGTCCCCCTCCCACTGCCTTTCAGCACTTGGTGCTCCTGAACATTCATAACATTGAAATTTGTGTTTATGATGCAAATTCTTCAACACTCTTTCAGTCCATAGGCACTAAGTCCATTAGTTCTCCCCACAATCAGACTACCATATTATAACCTAGAAAAAAGTATTAGTATTAAAATCAACTCCATTGTTTAGGAGAGAGGTTAGGAACTTCCCCAAGGTTGCAAGGCTAAGAGGTGAGAGAACTGTGTTTCCTTCCCAGAAGTGTACATTTTTTAATAGATTCTTTTGCTAGATTAGATGAACTAGAATAACTGGACATTGTATCTTTACATTTTTATAGCTTAAGTAACCAGTGTTAAAAAACTAAACAATAGCTATAGTCATTCTTTCTGTCTTGATCTCTCTCATATACACATACACATACAAATTTACACACCAAATACTGGCTGCTGTAGTTTTTACCCACTTAGTTTTATTTTCTATCAAATAGAGCTAAAAATGCATTTGCCTTTTTTCTCCCTCTATGGATGACCATATTTTAAAAGAATCTTAGAAGTATTAGGACTTTTCCTTTTTATTATTCCTTCTTAAATTGGCAGCTATACAAAATATAATGTAAATGATCGCATTGCTTGTTCTAAAGTGAATATTTTCTGTATTTAAATCTGATTCCCAGTTTTCCATTTTTTTAAATTAGATCTTATCGAGAGATGTGGATCGTGTGAAAAGAATCACCATGGCGATATGGAATACAATACAATTTCTTAAAAGCTGCTTCCAGTGGGAATCTACATTGAGAAGTACAATAGCATTCGTGGTAAGCTTCCTTTTTTGCATTCAATTTATTCATTTTTTGCTTCTGAGTCTCAACTCCAAATGCAGATGGGTTTTACTTTACAAGCTGGAAACAGAAAGTTACATATTCCACATAACTGAAGTTTATATCTATAAGGAAATTTTCATTATAAATATGATCATGTATGACCTGAGACATGATTATCTGGTGGTGTCTTTAACATCAGTTCATCCTGTACTATAATGCAATTACAGAATCTCAGAGCTGCAAGAGATCCTAACATGCCCTAAGTCAACCACCGAGCCCAAGACTCTTGGAAGGACCTGAGCATTGACAGCAGGCCCTCATTTCTCTCCCCTTTTCTTTTTTTAAAAAAATTTATATTAGTTTATTTTTACATATTTGTATGTATTTTTCCATCTCAGTTGCAATCCCCTTGGGCTTCCCATCACCAAATCACCCATGCGCCATCACTATAGTCCAGTGCATTTCCGTCCCCCCACTATTATTGATCTCATTCCCCAGTCCACCCCCACAAAATGTCTCTGGTGTATAGCTGCTCATCATTATCACTATTTTCTCGCCTGGTCTGTTACATTGCTGCTATGAGAAAAACCATCCTCTCTCCCCCTTTCTAAGGGAACTTCTTGGTCGGATTGGGTCTTCCCCTACAGCGGAGGAAAAACCAAGTCCTCCAACTGCCATTCTTTTATATCTCCTATGGGCCATTAGTCTTGGGGTGTATGAAGATTGCCATCCAGACTAATATGACAGGCATGATTGAGTGGTAACTCATGGTGATATGGTGATAGTCCTCCTGTCCCCTGCTTTCTGTTGTCAGTGTTCTGTCTTCAGTCACAGGAATGTACTCATAAAAGAAAAAAAAAAAAAAAAGCTCCAAAGGTCAGTGGGTTCAAGGTCATGTCCACTGCTCAGTGAGATGTTCTTTGCTATCAAAGGGCCATTCTGTTTGGTCTAGTTAATTATAGCTTTTTATCTGCTTCAGGATATAGTGGCTCTAGCATGGCTGTGGACCTGCCCTTTAATATACTTTTATTTTGGTCTGAAGTTGCTAAAACAATGGTTCCTAATAAAGACATTAGTGAGAATTTTGTTAGCACACATCTGTCTTTGCCTTCATGTTTATTTACCTACTTCCCTTTCTTGTGTTCCCCTCACTGGTGGCTTTATGTGTTGGGGTGCTGGTGAGCCTCCCCACCTCCAATTTCCACATGAACTCTCTTTAAAAACTTTCCATGGAATGTTCTACGCAATTCTGGGCAAAAAAGAAAAGTCAGCGGCATTGGATGCTTCTTCCCGTCAGCACCACCGCCAGTCCTTTGAGAGGGGATTTCCTCTTTCTTGAGCTTAGTTTCTGGCACTGTGATTTTTAGAAAAACAGAGATCTGATGCCATGGGTTCTGTGGGAGAGTGACAGAAATGATTAATGAGCTGCAATCCTGATCTGAAGACAGATTAGAACAAATGAATAGAAATAGGTCATCTTGACCTGGGGGTGGGAGGTGCGCGGTGGGAGGAGTGTTTCTAAATGGGCAGTGGCTCCTCGTGCATGCCTATCCCCTGCGAACACACATTGCTTTCTGCCAGGCTGGCAGGAGGGGGCCACCTTGCTGTCCTTTCAAATCTCTAAGGCCTCAGGGAGGGAAGGGGAAGGTGCCTCTTACTGCTATTTACTAAAGCATGGGTTTGCTTGGACACATGAGTTCATGAAACTCTAGGGGGTGCCACTGTGTATGTGGGTGTGGTTTTCCACATGGGCCAGATATGTAGAGTCTGAGAGTCTACATTTATGACAGTTATACAGGATGCATGGATAAATTGTGTTGTCCGAAGACTGCTCACTTAAACACAAATACTTTTCTGTTTTCATTTGAAATTCTGTGCATGAATATTTATCTCACATTTGCTCAACCCACATAGAAGTCAAGATACTGCAACTATAGGGAAGCGGATGCCTCCTTTCCCTCAACTGATGAAGTGTCATTTTATTAGAAATGATTTTATTACTACTATTATAGTGGTCATCGCCAAACTATCTCTGCTCATTAAAGACTGGAATGCTACTCAGCTATAAAAAATAGAGATGAAATCCTGCCATTTGAACACGTGAACAAACCCAGAGTCTGTTATGCCAAGGAAAAAAGGCAGACAGAGAAAGACATATGGCACATCATTTCACATACATGATAGATAGAGGAACGGATGAACTAATAACACAAAACAAAAACACACTCTTAAGCTACAAGAACAAAATAGTGGTAACCACTACTGTGGTAACCACTAGGGGTCAGCTGGGTAAACACTAGGGAGGGAAGCTGTCAGGCGCTGGGTGAAACTGGACTCTGATGAGCAACATTGTCTACACTGATATTGATAGCTAGGTTTTCACACCTGGAGCTGACTACTGTTGGAATCAACGTACGGTACTTCCATTAAATAAACCAAAGAGTGTCGTGACCTCAGGGATCTCAGTGCCCTTCAACCACATTCATTTGTGAGTGTCTCAGCATCATTCTTTTTCTGAACATACAGGTTGATTAGGGGATACATTTGCTAATGTAAGCACAAACTCATTCTAATGGAAGTTAAAGCAACAATTAAAGCAAGCACATATGGCGAATATACTATTGGGATAAAATTAAAAAATATATTATATGTTCTGGTTTCCTCTTTTCTCTTAAAAAATGGCATGGTGAGTAGCCAGGTCCTCATTATTTAGACAAGAGCTTTTCCTTTGTGGATCTTGCCTCCTGTGTGCATGCCAGCTGCCTGTTGCACCTATGGTGGCCCTGCAAGGGTTGCCGTTGGGTGTGGGCCTGTGAGCGTGGGCCTTTGATGGGTTGTCTTCTGGAAAGCATTGCATTCTAGTTGACCTGGACAGAGAAAGCAGTGGTGCGTCCATGACCTTGAATCTGGCTCTTCTCTCCCTTGCTCCCCTGTGGTGCGTGTTGCATTTGTCATGGGCACTGCACACTGATGCTCCTTGTGATCTGCTGAGGACGAGAAGTTTTCATTGGTTTTATCAGTGTGAAATTTTTTAAAAAGATTTATTTATTTATTTATTTATGCATACAGAACTGGGGGACAAACCAGAGGTGCAGGGGTGGTGAGAGGATTCCCCAGAGACAGAGTGGGGAGCAGAACAGGCAGATCAATGAAGTACACTGCTGAGGGGAGCAGCAGGTGGGCCGCGCCATGTGGGTCACCTCTGGGGCTGAGGATTAAACTCACACTGAAGGAGCTCCGGGTTGCTTGCAGTGCTGCGCCCTTACCTGTTGCACCACCAGGGAGGGCCAATGTGAAAACTTAGGTCTCATTCACTTGCCTGGGCTTTACAGGGGCAGAGCAATTTTATGGTGACCTGAAGCAGTGTCTTAATCCAAGGATTTATTAAACAACAGGACTGCATTTGAAGATCCTTCTCTATTACAAATTAGACAAAGTGATATTTAGGGGTTCAGTTAATGATGTGTCTTTGTCTAAACCAGTCCCTAGGGGCTCTTCCTTCCCCTGGAGAGACAGGAGGTAACTCAAGCTCCAAATCGGTGTCTGTGTCATTTTGTCCACTTTCTGGGAAAACACTTAGATTAGGTAGAAGAGTTTTTCCAGGGGAGCATGAGAACTGCAAATAACTAAAGGAGCAAATCTTTTCATATTTTCTTCAAGACTTTGAGGTCCTCCCTAGTGGCATAGTGGGTTAAAGCACAGCACCATGAAGCTATCTGCAGCCACTACAGCACGAGTTCTATCCCCCGCCAGGGAGTGTCTCCCCGCTGCTCCTTCAGCAGTGTATTTCAGTCCATCTGCCTGTTCTGCTCCCCACTCTGTCTCTGGTGAATCCTCTCACCCCCTGCACCTCTGCCCTGTACCCCAGTTCTTGTATGCATGAACAAATAAATCATTGAAAGAAAAAACTTGAGGTTGGGCAAAGTAGGGAGAAGAGTAGAGTAACTACATAAACACACTCCTGCACAATGTCTTAAAATGGTAACTATCGAAGATAAAGGCTCGTATTTCTAGTGTGTGTGGAGATGCTCTATGGAATATCCCCCTGGCTCTGTACAAATACATTACTTGGTGATAATTAAGGTGCATTGAATTTGGTCTCAAATAGAATTTTGCGTTGTGAAATTTGTAAGGTAGAGTAACTGGATGCATGGGTTTGTTTTGTCTGTCTATTGGGTACTTGTATGTCACAAACCCCAGTATTTTCTATAGAAAGACCTAAAGTCATATTATGACAGAAATGCCTTTTTTTTTTTCATTTAACAAAATACCATTGACTTGACAGATGGCTTCATCAGAAGATTATTTTTAATAGCAGAGGCCTCCCAATTCCGTACGAGAACTGCATTCTCATAGTTTCATTTTTCTGCCAATCTTTCAGGCACACCTATTGCCTCAAGGAGGCACGGCTGAGGGGCATTGATGGATTCCTTATTTTATTAAATTCTTACTTGGGCGTTTGATGTTAAAAAGTAATCTAAATCTACCATATATCAGTGGGCATCTTCATAAAACTATGATTTTAACATCTGTGACTTTTTTTCCTGTGTTTTTTGAGTGTAGGAAAATGAAGAATTTCTTCTTCAGAGCTGACAGGGTCTGCAATGTCATAATTTGAAGCATCAATCAACCTTCCCCTCATGCAATAAGATTAAAGATGCTGCTTTCCCTTTTTAGGTACAGTCCGTATTTACATATGCAAATTCTTAGCTTTTCTAAGAATCTTAGATGTTGAGAAATGTGACATAAGCTCACTTGAGTTGAAAAATAATAACAGTAACAGAACTTCCAATATAGCGTGTATGTAAGTACCCACTCCCCACATACACACATGTGGGCACACACCTGCACATATCTGCATTCTAACACACAGGCGTATCTGAACCCACACAGGCATATACTTGTATTACAGCTGTGAACTCATGTGCTGACATGTATATGCATGGTATAAGCACACCTGCACACACAGACACCGGTACACATAGAAACACACA